TAATCTCTTTGAATTAATCATGGCTATATGGTTTTAGATCTCAAGTTTTATGATGTAGATCTAACATATTGTCCTTAATTACTACTTTTTACACAAAAGTGTCTTGAAAATTTTCCATTAAACTGTTAACTGACAGATGTTAGCGTAAATTGACACATGATATAAATGCGAGTAGTTTGACTTTTTTAATTGTTCTTTTCATTTCCTATGATCTTAGACGCCGACTTAAAATTCAGAAATGTCAGCTAATTAAATTTGTTATCCAAAATTTTATCTGAGTGAAGAGAAAACGCTTAAAGAAAAAGAAAAATTCTCAGAGTGCGTTAAACTGAGGTTGCACTCTCCTAGGTTTTTCAGGATCAAAATTATGAGTCAACATGATTCAATATAAACAAAAAGAACGTCTAGATATTTCTTTTCTGAATCTTTTATATCTTGTTACATCGTCAAATCTTTATGTTCCATATATAGAACTCTTTCGGATCTTTTTCAGGTAATCAACAAATCTAATTAAATACTCTTACCCTTACGCCAAATTATGATGTGGGGGACTAATATATGAGGGACTAGTTTCAAATTATAAAAGACATGGGGGAATAAATTGTTCAGTACATTCAATCTACTGAATGTACGTAACAAAGTCACAATTCTTTAATATAGAAAGGGACTAATTATTTTTTTTAAAGGGTTTTGTTTCAATATTAGACCCAGTTTATCTTTCATATTTTGAAGTTAATCCCGCAAATCTTAAGCGTTTTTAAATCAGCCTCCCAAATCCTTAAGCGTTTTTATTAGCCCCCAAATCTTTATATATTGAAATTAGTCCTCCAAATGCTTTACATTTTTTAATTAGACTTTCTAGCTGGCAACTGGTAAAAAGAGTTGGGGGACTAATTTGAAAACACTTAAGAGATTTCAGGGACTTCTCTCAAAATATGAAGATGTGGGGGACTAAGATACGAGGGACTAGTTTCACATTATAAAATACGTGGGGGAATAAATCTGGAAGAAAAAAAAACCCATATATTTAATACATGTATGATTCTTACTATTTTTTTATTAAAATAGAAATTAATTTCAATACGTAAGACAAGTTAAGCCGATCCTTTCGATTCTATGTCATCCGAGTCTCATAGTATATACCAATGCCGAGCTGGATTTGGTTCTCTCAAGATCCTCTTGGTGCAATTCCTCTCAACAGTAGGAAAAACACAAAAGCTTGGTGATCGAATCAATAAGAGCAAGCCACGTATAACAGTTTTTTTTTTTTCTGTTCCTATGCAAACGCAGATGCTCTCAGCTGCGGTTAGGCGAGAGCATTGTATATCACATTTTCATTAACAGCCCGCTTATATTTATAATATTTTATAAAACAACATTAATTTCTTTAAAAATTTACTTTGATGATTATGAAACATATAGATTTAACATTGATTTGTAAAAGCATTAGACAAATTAACTTTTGGTCTTGTCAGCAATTTTGCAGATGGAAAGTTGGTAGGTTTTGAAATTTAGTTTTCAATTACCCCCGGTTTTCTAGCCACGGGTAATTATTGTTTATAATTATGAATCCGTGTTCATCGTTTCCAGCTCTCTTTCTCTTTTTCTTTTTTTTAGTACCCCTATCTAAAACCCAAAACTTGAGATTAAAAAAGATGTAGGGATTCGCAAATATTTGGGATCTTAAGAATATTTATATAGTGCGAGCTCTCAAATTGTTAGTTTTATCTGGATGCATGGTGTTTGAAGGCTTAGATTTATTTATTTATTTTTAACGATAGAAACAAGGATAGATGCCCTGCTCATTCCATTAAAGAAAACATGCTATGTTCTGGGTATTGAAAAAGTATAAAAAAAGTGAACATCAAATAATTCATATTCACGAATAGGGTGTGGATATTGTCGTCACCTATTGCTAGAATCACATATGTTTGATGAAAACCATTATACTTCCAAAAAATCCTTGGTATAATATGATAGCAGATACAAAGTCTTAAAACATGTTATATGTACATAACAAAAATGGAACGTATCCAAAAAAATTTAGATGTATTCTTATAATAATTACTTTGCTATTACACAAAGATTTCAATTCGGTTAATTAAAAAACAACCAACATTCAGCCAGTAATACTAACATGCATGACCTAAATTTCGTATGTTTTTATAATTAAATATAGAAAATAGTATTTAAAAATCCTGGAAAATTGATTATCAAGTTAAAAGGTGAACAATGTTGCAATTTATTTGGGGAAATCTCGATTATATTCATGATAAATTGAAATTGATAAATATCAGGGCACAATTATAATGAATAAATTGTTTTTTTTAACAACAAACCAATATTCTCTATAGAAAAGAAAGATTGCTGCCAGTAGAATTGCTTTTTCTTTCTTTTCCATCTTTTTTTTTTTTGTTTTTGTTTTTTTCTTTAGTTAAATAACAGAAAAGGAAGAGGGGGGGAAAGTTTCTTTTCGTGGTCACGCAACTTGGCGCGCTCTTTGCACGTCCCGTCTTTTTGTTAACGGCACTAACTTTTTGAACAAGGAGAAATTGTTTTATAACAAATAAATCCTTAACCAAAGAAATAATTACTTAAACTTAATTATTGTATTAAAACATTTATTCTTAAAACAAGTTTGTCAATATGGATTCAGATTCTCTCCAGTTTGGTGATAATTGAAGAGAGTCCAACTATCCTAATCATAAATATCCAATGCAATTTCAATGGATGAGATGATGCCACATAAAAATTTTCACCATCGATCACAAATATATTGATTTTTATGATAAGTTACTTCAAGGCGGTAGCAGTTTTCAATATATGTGGAAATTATACGTATTTGCAACGAACGTTAACGATTAGGATGATTGAAACCTCTCCTCTTACCACATATCGATCGGGGTCCAATTTAACACATCTCATACCTAATGAAGATATTTATCATCTAGTACGTACTTGACACCATACACAACCATATATTTTAAACAAAACAAATATATAATCACATTCAGATCGAAATATTTTTATTTAGTTGCCCCTCAAGTTATCACAAACCGTTCCTATATCGTCCAAATGTTTAAAATCAACAAGTAACAACCATAATACTTAAAAACTCAGCTTTTTTTTTCTCCTTGTGTAACCATTCTACGCCAAAACCTCCCTAGTTCGTATCAACCTCCTAATAAACAACGTCGCTACAAGAAAATAGGCCTGCACTTGTACACATATAAATACCACCAAAACTTCCGTAAAAAACTCAAAAACACCAATTAAAACCCGAAGAGCACGAAAATCAAAGCATGGCAACCCTCCCGTCAAACCTCGACATATCCGAAGCAAGCCCGGAATGGCTTAACAAAGGTGACAACGCGTGGCAACTTACCGCAGCCACGTTAGTGGGCCTCCAATCAGTGCCGGGCCTCGTAATTCTCTACGGCAGCATCGTCAAAAAGAAATGGGCCGTGAACTCGGCCTTTATGGCCCTCTACGCGTTTGCTGCGGTTCTCCTCTGTTGGGTTTTGTGGGGCTTCGAAATGTCATTCGGTGACCAAATGTTGCCATTTTGGGGGAAACCCGGATTTGCCCTTAGCCAAGGGCACTTGATTTCGCAGGATGAGGATTTCGTGGGGATGTATCCGAGGGCCACAGTTGTCTATTTCCAGTTTGTATTTGCGGCGATTACGTTGATTTTGGTAGCGGGCTCGTTGTTGGGCCGTATGAATTTCCACGCTTGGATGATTTTTGTGCCGCTTTGGCTGACGTTTTCGTACAGTATTGGGGCGTTTAGTATTTGGTCGCCGAGTGGGTTTTTGTTCAAGAAAGGGTTGATAGATTTTTGCGGGGGTTATGTTATTCACTTGGCCTCTGGGGTTGCTGGATTCACTGCAGCTTTCTGGGTAATCTTGTTTGATTTATTGCATAACAAATGTTTTTAGTTTACGTAGTTTAGGAATATATATCATTTTAGAAGATGACATATAATAAAACACGAGGAAAAAGGTAAAAAAGAAAAGTCCGAAATATAATTTTCGAATAAACTAGTGACTGTAACATATATATAAAGCATATGTTCTATATATGAGCAATTTCTAACTTGAAATGTCCTAAATCACTTTAACTCGATTGTACTAGCCCCTCTATTTTTTGAGAATAATATTAGATCAGGTCCTTAATAATTGCGATGAGAGAAAATGAGACTTTTTTGCTTATTCAAAAGGAGAAAAGGAAAGAGAAACAAAGTTAAATAGTACAATTCTTGAAAAAAATATATATATTATAGCTAAAAATAAGAACATCTTGTGTATGAAATGTAATGCTTAAATGTTCTACTCCATAGAAACAACTACAATTTCTTAATGGTTTGAAAAAGTAGTGTCCAATTACAAGGGCAAAAAAGAGTTCTACTTTCAATTTTTGGTGTGCATAAGTAGCGATCATAGTTAGGGATGCGTACAAAAGTAATTATTTGTTTAAACGAGTTGACATATTTTAACCTTTACTAATAACACAAGAAAAAACACTAACAGGTGGGCCCAAGATCGACCAAGGACAGGGAGAGGTTCCCGCCAAACAACATACTCTTGATGCTCGCCGGCGCTGGCCTGCTATGGATGGGCTGGACCGGATTCAGCACCGCCACCAGCCTCCTCGTCTGGCTCGGCCTCGATGTCATGTTCTTCGATAAGCCCTCCGTCATCGGTGCAGTTCAGGGGATGATCACCGGGCTTGTATGCATCACTCCGGCTGCCGGTGAGCGATGGATCAATTGGGTTGGTCCTGGGCTGTTCTAGCTAGTCCAAACTTATATTGTAGCGAAATGTATTTCAACTCAGACAAAGTCGAATATAAAAAAGCGGATTAAAATTAATTAATAATTCCACAAAAGCTCAAGCTCTAGTATGCAAATGGAACGCTCAACGTGCGGAAACATGCTAGGAAGACTAATGTGGTCACATTTCTTAATTCTTAATTATAAACACAGATTGAATGAATTAGGAACGCATTTTAATTTCTATAAAATGACATAATAGTTCACCTTTTAAGAATTTAGAGCTTATACACAATAGAGCTTGAGCACTGCTTTCATGCGCATTGGGTCCAGGCCTGGTTCAGGGATGGGCAGCGATCATAATGGGCATTCTATCAGGCAGCATCCCTTGGTACACAATGATGGTCCTCCATAAGAAGATCTCCTTCCTCAACAGAATTGACGACACCTTAGCCATCTTCCACACCCACGCCATCGCCGGCAGCCTTGGTGGCATCCTCACAGGATTCTTGGCCGAGCCCAAGCTCAACCGCCTCTTCTTCGGCGACGACAAACACATTGGTCTCATCTACGCCCTCAAGTACGTTTCCTTTTGTTATTGTTACACGTATAGGAGAACAAAGTGTTTAATCACAAGATCAGGTATGATATTTTATCATATTTGTATTCGTTTACTATCACTAACATACATACCGTCTATATTCGTTAAAATCGGACATAGATGAGAGGAAAACAATTATGGACACATAGCATACGAGGTAAACATAACTTAAAACTCCGGGTTAAATCACCGGATCACCAAAATCGGGTCACATTTAATAAGCAAAATTGATGTCTATGGGAAAATCTACATTGGATTGAATATGGAATATGAATCTGTGAATCTGTACTCGTTTGCACCTTCTAATTAAATACGTATTCTTTCATTATAACGTGTGAATCAGGGACGGGCGAGCCAGTGAAGGATTTCGGCAGTTAGGCATGCAGATAGCAGGCATAGCATTCATATACGCCGTCAACATCACGATCACGTCCACCATCTGCCTTGTTGTCAGACTGATTGTGCCGCTCCGGCTGAGCGACGAAGACATGGCAGTCGGAGATGATGCGATCCATGGAGAGGAGGCGTATGCATTGTGGGGTGACGGAGAGAAATTCGAGAACTCAAAACATAACTCTGTTTATGATGCTGACGAGTTCGCTTCAGCGGGCAAGGCTGTTCAGATGACTTGATGGGGTTGTTGAAGAAGGTTTGAAGCAAGTTTGGTGGTTGAGTTTATTTTGATGCAAGGATAGGGTTTAATGAGAGTTTCATTGTGAGTTCGAATTATTTGCTTTTGATGTTACGGTGATCAATGAATAATGAAGGAAATGAATTCCCAAGAGCTAATATATTGTGCTGGCATTAGACGTAGCAAGTTTCTTGAATTTACAAGCTGCATATGCTGCAGTTCAGCTCTCACTGCTTTTTAATTCAGGTTAATTGCACATACACCCCCTACAGTATTGCTATTTGAACTTACTGTCAGACTCAATTCCTTTACCTCAGGTAGATGTTTGCGTCAAAAGTTAGTCTCGTTGTGGAATTCATTATATCTTCGTTCGATTACAACAAATTCAAAAGAAATAGCCTTTTTATAAGACTTCTTTTACACAACAAAAGGAAAATTACAATTTTTTAGAAACAAACGCAGGATCGTTGTTTGGATCGCTGCTTGCGTGGGATCTTTGCCTGTGCCGGGAGCGCTTTGACTCGTGGACCACCGAATCACAGATTCTGATTGAATCGTGAGGGGTTTAATGATTCTTCCTTCGTTTATCGAAGTGAGAATTTAAAGTGAATATCTTATCAAAGTAAGATGATCACTCTTCTTAAGATTAAGTCAAAGCTCGAATCTCAAGGAATCCAAGAACAATAGTGTCTGCTCTCTCTCTGCTCAAAATTGCTCAATAATGTGCTCTGATTAGCCTCCTCCAAAAAATCGATCTCAGGGGGGTATTTATAACCCCTGGGCAAAAAACCATTCCCGAGACAGTGTTTGCTGTCTCGGCGGCCGAGACAGCAAAGACTGTCTCGGGTTCCGAGACAGTAAATCTTGTAACTGCCTTCCCACGTTTTAAAACTCTGTTATCTTGGCAGTTATCAACGTGATTCTCGCCCACGACGTTTCCCACGTTCCTTGGCAGTTAATGGACGTGTGTGGCGTGTCTCGCTTGGCGAGACAGTAAAGACTGTCTCGCGTGCGAGACAGTCTATACTTGTGTCCTTTTCTCCTTTTGAGTTGCGCTTTCAGCATTTTTTGACGCCTACAGATACCCCCTCCAAAGTGTTCCAGACTTATTCTTTTATAGAGGAGTCTGGGACACTTTGGATAAGACATGTCTTATTTGCAATCCCTTCGATACTTGATTGAGTAGATCGTACGGAAGGACCTGTAAATGGCTTCAAATCTTGACCTCTTCATCCTTTGGTCTATTCAGTGCTTTGTAGAATAGACAAAGTTCTTCCGGTGTTATGTTTATCGCTTGACCGTTGTCGAAGTCTTGACTTAGAGCTGGTGTTGGATGACAGAGGAATAGTTTATATTCATATACTCGTTGGGAGGTAGTCAGGTTATTCTTAAGAATATTCTAAGTGATATTCTCCGAAAACTTCCTGTTGGGGGTAGGGAAACAGTTTAAACTCGTGTACCTATTGGAGTATTCAGGTTATTCTTAAGAATATTCTGAGTGATATTCTCTAGAAACTTCCTGTTGAGATTAGGGAAATAGTTTAGACTCGTATACCTATTGGAGTATTCTGGTCTCTTTTTTGTTGGTAGAGATGAACCCGATGATGGAGAGAAAGAATTTTATATTCTATCTTCTGGTCTCTTGTTTGTTGGTAGAGATGAACTCAATGATAGAGAGGAAGAATTTTATATTCTATCTCCTGGTGCAAAGGAAACTCAAAGTGGGATCACCACTTAGAGAATCTGGACGGGTTTGAATAATCCTAACTATCATAAGGTTTGATTATTCAACTGAAAGTGGACCTCTCGTTCGCAAAAATGAATCGAAAGGATATTTTGGTTGTGGTCCTAACTGTAGTAAGGTTTGACCAAGTGAGAGTTTTGAGACGATCCTAACTGTAGTAAGGTTTGATCGCTCGATTTGTGGACCTCTCGTTCATTGAAGGAATCGAGAGGGGATTTTGGTTGTAGTCCTAACTGTAGTAAGGTTTGACCAAGTAGGGGTTTGAGACGATCCTAACTGTTTAAAGATTTGATCGTTCAATTTGTGGACCTCTCGTTCATGAAAGGAATCGAGAGGGGATTTTGCTTTGGTACTAACTGTTTAAATGTTTGACCAAATGGGAGTTTGAGACGATCCTAACTGTTTAAAGGTTTGATCGTTCAATTTGTGGACCTTTCGTTCATGAAAGGAATCGAGAGGGGATTTTAGCTTTGGTCCTAACTGTTTAAAGGTTTGACCAAATGGGGACTTGAGACGATCCTAACTGTTTAAAGGTTTGATGCTTTCCCTGCAATTTCTCCAGTGCTTTGTTGAGGAAATTGCGTGGCATGGTCTATGAATGGCTTCAATCTTTGACTTCTTCATCTTTTAGCCTATTCAGTGCTTTGTAGAATAGCTAAAATTCCTCCGGTGCTGCGTTTATCGCGTGGCCGTTGTCGAAGTCTCAAATTAAAACTGCTGTCGAAGAATTTGAGAAATAGTTTATACTCATATACTATATTGGAGTGTTCGGGAAATAGTTTAACCTCATATACCCGTTAGGAGGTAATCAGGTTATTCTTAAGAATATTTTGAGTAATATTCTCCAGAAACTTCCTGTTGAGGGTAGGGGAACAGTTTAGACTCGTGTACCTATTGGAGTATTCAGGTTATTCTTAAGAATATTCTGAGTGATATTCTCTAGAAACTTCCTGTTGAGATTAGGGAAATAGTTTAGACTCGTATACCTATTGGAGTATTCTGGTCTCTTTTTTGTTGGTAGAGATGAACCCGATGATGGAGAGGAAGAATTTTATATTCTATCTCCTGATCTCTTGTTTGTTGGTAGAGATGAACACAATGATAGAGAGGAAGAATTTTATATTCTATCTCCTGGTGCAAAGAAAACTCAAAGTGGGATCTCCACTTAGAGAATCTGGACGGGTTTGAATAATCCTAACTGTCATAAGGTTTGATTATTCAACTGAAAGTGGACCTCTCGTTCGCAAAAATGAATCGAAAGGATATTTTGGTTGTGGTCCTAACTGTAGTAAGGTTTGACCAAGTGAGAGTTTTGAGACGATCCTAACTGTAGTAAGGTTTGATCGCTCGATTTGTGGACCTCTCATTCATTGAAGGAATCGAGAGGGGATTTTGGTTGTAGTCCTAACTGTAGTAAGGTTTGACCAAGTAGGGGTTTGAGATGATCCTAACTGTTTAAAGGTTTGATCGTTTAATTTGTGGACCTCTCGTTCATGAAAGGAATCGAGAGGGGATTTTGGCTTTGGTCCTAACTGTTTAAAGGTTTGACCAAATGGGGACTTGAGACGATCCTAACTGTTTAAAGGTTTGATCGTTCAATTTGTGGACCTCTCGTTCATTAAAGGAATCAAGAGGTGAATTTGGCTTTGGTCCTAACTGTTTAAAGGTTTGACCAAATGGGGACTTGAGACGATCCTAACTGTTTAAAGGTTTGATCGTTCAATTTGTGGACCTCTCGTTCATGAAAGGAATCGAGAGGGGATTTTGGCTTTGGTCCTAACTGTTTAAAGGTTTGACCAAATGTGAGTTTTGTGAGAGAAGATTGATCTAAGGGACATAGTGTTTATCACTTTGTTCGTAATGATTGGGTTATCCCTAAGAAAATTACATATAGCATTCTTCCGAGAACTTCCCGTTTACATGAACCATCCACCCCCAGCTTTTCTTATGAAACTGGGTTTATCATTATATTCAGCTGCATGATCGGGTTATCCTTAAGAGTACTATACATGGCGCTTTCCAGGAAGTTCCCGTGAAAGAAAGGAAATAGTTTAGACTCATATACCTATTGGAGTATCGAGGAGCAGTTTATACTCGTATACTCTTCGGAGTGAGGGGAAACAGTTTATACTCGTGTACCTAATGGAGTTGGGGAAACAGTTTATACTCGTGTATCCAATGGAGTATGAGTCGTCTTTACTTGGCTTGTTTCGTCGTTATGACGCCGGAGTCAATTAATGCTTGGATTTTATTTTTGAGTCCGAAGACGCCGGAGTCAATTAATGCTTGGATTTTATTTTTGAGTCCGAAGCAAATCTCAGTGGGATGAAGAACTCTTCTGTGGTACGCACAGTAGTTTGGATCCGTAATCCTTTTAGCTCCCTCCTGATCTTTAATAGGTGGCAGCTCAATTTTGTCATTGGCGAGGAGGTATTTCAATATGGCTGGAGTTTCATCATTTTCGAAAGAATACTCCTTTTGAAACCTCGGATCGAGAGTCGCGTTCCCAGCGATTGCAGATGTCGTTGGTCGGCTTCTCTCAGCTTTCTTTCTTTTAAGAAAGTGTTCAGCTTGTTCACCGCGCATTTTCAAATCTTTCCAAGTTTTGGATGGTACGACCCCCAGGGCTTTCAGGACATCGATAGAGAGATTATTGTGGCATGTTTGCAGGATGAACTCCTCTGTAACAGGATCTCTGCAATTCATTACCTTGTTACGGAAGCGCTTAACAAAATTGTCGACTGACTCTCCGTCTTTTTGCTTCTCATCTAGAAGGGTTTCGATCGACACTTCGGTGTCATCATCGAAGAAATTGTTGAGGAACAAACTTTTCATGTCATCCCAACAATTGATGCTCCCTGGCTTGAGACGTCGGTACCAATCGAAGGCGGGCCCACGAAGGGTGCCAACGAATGACCGGACCATTAAAGCCTTATTTCCAGAGATCATGCCCAAATGAGACTTGAAATAAATCAAGTGCTGAGTAGGCGAGCTCTTTCCGTCAAACGGTGTGAAGTTAATCATGTTGAATTTTGCCGGGTATGGTATTGAATCACATTCTCTTGGATAGGGACATGGAATACCCGTCTTTTTTACTTCTTGAGCCGTCATCAAAGCGTTGATTTTGTTTTCAAGCTCTTTCATTTTCTCGTCATCGTCTATGTCTTCATTCGAAGGACGTTGAGGAGAATGAGTTAGACCACCCCCTGTAAGAGGTGCCATTGAATCACCCCCAATCTCGTTATTAGGAGGATCCGTTAGACTACCCCTAGCGTTATTGCTATTGGGAGATGTATCAGCCATTATGACTTCATCCATTTCTGGATCACTGTCATCTATAACATTCTGAATGTGGCGGCTGGATTCAGCTCGCTGACTGGACTCAGGAGGTTGAGGCCGTTGAGTTAGCAATTCTCTCATTTGTTGGATAGCTAACTCCATCTCTGTCTTCATCTCAGCTCTAATTTCTTCACGTTGCTTCGCTAGAGCTTCTTAAAGTATTTGAGCGAACTGATCAGAGGTGATTGTGAGTACTTCTCTGGTTTGCCCTGTGCTAGATACTGTATCATCCGAGGCGATCGCAGAACAAGTGTCCAAGAGCTCGTCCTCTGATGACTTTCCTTCATGCATT